GCCCCCGCCCACCCCCCCCCCCCCCCCAGGCTAGGGCTGCTTTTATGGCCCCACCAATCATCTGCATCACTGCTGCTGAGAAGGGGGCTTGTTGGGTCGGACCCAGCAATGCTGACTTCTGCAAACAAGACAACAGCAATAATTCACAGCACACATTATGCAGAAACAGTTCATATACATGGCTATGAAGCAGAAAGAATGATGGGACAAAACCTGTCATTTTGAAGGAGAAACAGCTTTTTAATGTGAACAAATTGAAGTCAAGATCAGATTAAGACCTAACCCCAACATACAGACCATATAATAATAAATAAATATTAGTTCCTTATATTTGCACATTGCCAATACAAAAGTAAGCTTTGACCATTTTTTACTTTTCATATAAAAAGGAAATGCAAACACAACTCACAAGTTTGGAATATGTAAGGTGTAGTACTGTAAAAAATGTTCATATTTTATATATATATATATATATATATATATATATTATATGTTAATATTTCATTTTTATATATAAAATGTTCATGTTCATGTTTTTTATTTTTTTTACTGTTTTTTCATCAAATAATCCTAAAATCTAGAAAAACACACACACATTAAGCAGCACATCTGTTTTCACAACCATTTCTGTCCTATTAATCCTTTATATTTTATGCACTTCTGCTGTGACTTCAGTAGAGTGCTGGTCATGTAGAATAATGAGGATTTAGATTTAGATTTAATCATTTAGCAGACGTTTTTATCGAAAGCAACTTACAATTTAACTCCTGTAGTTCATTTCTAATTCTTGGATAGAATGTAGGGATTATTCTTCAAATGTTTTGGGCACATTACTTACACTGTAAAAAATGACAGTGAATTTAATGGTAAAAGACTGTAAAAATGCTACAGTAAAAACCTGTTAAATGGTTAACGGTAAATTCCCCTACTATATACGGTGAAAAACTGTATGGGACATTACATGTATTGGACATTAATTTTACGGTAGTATACCGTTTTTGGAAGTGAAAAAGACCGTATAATTTACAGTGAATAACCGTAAATTGACATTCCCAGAATTCCCTGCGTTACATTTCAAATTTGATGTTTTTTTGTTGAAATAACTATGTTTCTTCTTCGTTTTTTCTTATCAGTTTTGTATATTAGGGTTGTGTGTTACACCTAATGTTGTTAAATGAATGTTTATTGCATTATTTCAGTTTCATGTGTGTTACCGTGATGGTGTTTAGTGTTTGTGTGAATGACACTGTGCACCTTCTATATATGTTATTATTTAAAAGCTGCTTGTGATGGGCTTTGGTTCATCATGTGACTTTCTCATCACCTCCAGCATTTGGTGGTTATCAGTGTATTACAAAGGTACAAAACAGATTTCAGTACTTCAATAGGTTGGTATATTAACATTATATCAGTTAATGAAAATACGGTATTTAACTGTAAATTTAAGTTAAAACCGTAAAATCTAAAACGCTGCTACCGTATTTTTACGGTAAAATTCCGGTAACCACAGCTGCCGTAAATTTTACGGATTTTTTTTTACAGTGTACTGAAGGGATGTCACTCATTCAGCTTGCAGGAAAGTCTGAAGCTGCGTCCGAAATCGCATACTTCCATACTATATAGTAGGCGAAAAACAGTATGCGAGGCGAGTAGTACGTCCGAATTCATAGTATTCGAAAAACAGTAGGCGAGAAGTACCCGGATGACCTACTACTTCCGCCCGAATTCCGTAGCATGCATAGGATGGACACTTTACTATCCCATGAGGCCACACGAGAGGAGGCGCCATATTCGAGAACGGCAGAAGGCGGCGACGCGGCTCTTTTCAAGCGTAAGTACCTCAGGGAAAAACGTTGTTCACTGTGGTTAATTTGCACTTCTTTAACATGATCTAAGTGAACGGCTGACTTATTGAAAGTTTAAACATTGTAAGTCGATGAGATGATTTTGTGAGTCGGCTGTAAAAAGATGTTTAATCGCCGATGAAAGTGGTAAGAATATCGTGAAACATTGCTGATGTTCGCAGTAGTGAGGGCTCTTTAAATTTAGGCGCTGTTGTGGAGACGCATGTCACGTGACAACGTCAACATGGCGGATGTAGTACGTCCGAATTCCATTCATACTACTCGCATTCATACTATATAGAACGTACTTATTTAACGGTCGAGTAGTACGTTCAAATTCAAATGTAGTACCTACTAAGCAGTATGCGATTTCGGACGCACCCATTGAATAGGCACTGGTCACAAGATTCTTAAATATTCTACCCTATCACATTATAGAAAATACGCAAGCATATAGTCTAGATTTAACGTGTTTGAGTTTTTATTTTTACATTTTATTAGTCTTTTACGTGATGACGCAAAAATAACCGATGAGTCGTTTGGAGTCGGTTCACTATAGAGGACCGTTCGAAAGAACCGGTTCAGGGAAATGAATCAGACTTCCCTAATATCCCAAACAAATTTCAACCAGGTTTTAACCCTTCAGAGCTGGATTGAATGTGCTTGCTTAGAAAACCATTATTCATCTACGCCACCTGCTGGTTGTAACGAGCATTTACACTCACAGTGTCCTGAGCTGTCACAAATATCACACTATTTAGAACATTATTACTTACTACACAAAGAGTAAGGAGCACTAGTTTTATAGGCTATATGTATTTGTGTTCATTTATCCGACTTTTAAATAAAATTTTCCAAGTTATTTATTTATTTTTTGCTTGCACGCGCAGAGCTGCTCTTGCACGTCAGCCTCAGCCTCGCCCTCAGCTCGCGAGTCCTGCCTGTCAGCAGCAGGTAAGAAGTCACTCATATCCGTGTTTTTGGCGTATTTTATATATAAAGTCAGTAATCATAACTTTTACAATTAAGTTTTGCAACTAAGCACTCAAATACAGTAACAGGCAGTGATGTGCATAGGAGGATTAAGTCTTGAAGATATAAAGTAAATAAATTAGTTTTCATCAGCACAGAAACCATAATCCACTTACTATATATAATCCATTGCGATTTATTTGTTATTAAATAAATTTACGTTTAGCCAGATTGCCCTTCATTCAAGTCTTCGGTTTACCCGCGCTCAGAACATTAGCCCAGAATCAGT